GATGGTTGAATTTGGAGGAGCAAACATGCTCAGGTTGCTAATCTGCCCTCTCCCCTGATGGTCACGTATCAGAGGGAGGTGTTTTAAAGACAATTGAGATGTCTGCTTCTCTCTACTCAGCAGACAAATTGCTTTTGCTGGATGTCTGGGCTGGGGAAGGCCCCAAAACACAGTTTTCTGGTCAGACATATAATACTTTGTTTTCCAGAGCTTGTAGTATGAGTTGTGTATGCTTCCCAGCACACTTTCATTTTTAGGCTTGTTTTTCAATCCGTAATGAATAATGTTCTTTCTAATATAAGAACAATTATGTCATGCATCAAGACACTCTGTGAGTTGAGAATAGAAGATTTTTTTATTTCTTTTAAACTGCAAAAAGGAAATAGGAAATTAAAATTCCAGTAATGAGGAGCATGATACTGCTTTTTAGTATGTCCAACAAAAATTTTATTTTTGATGGAAACTGTGCAGCAGTGAGGATGGTAATTGCCCTGTTGAGCTGAGGTTCTTGAGAGGATTAATCACTGGTGTTCTACTGACAGTGCCTTTTTCTCAGGGCTGTGTGTATGAGATCTGTTGGGCAATTTGCTTACGTTTCTTTTTTACTGCTTGGACAGACCAATAATGGTAACTCTTACCAAACTTCAGTCTCGTTCATTAGTACATCACAATTACAAGGACGTTATCTGGATTACAAGTCGTGCTTCAGAATGTACGTGTGGCCTTTTTTTCTGAGGTTGTTGCTAGCATTGTAGTACTGGCTGCAGCAGGTACTGACACTCCAAAGAGCTGAAATGACTTATCTAGCTTTAGCAAGAACTTCTGCGATGGATAGCTCACTTCCTTTCCTTTGTTTCACTGAGCTGGATGGAAAAATCAAGTCACTTGTTAGAATTTTACTGAAGCTTTCCCTGCAGTCTTGATGACAGGGTGGACTTTTGTCCTGCCATTTTTATGTTAAATAAGCAAGTATGTATATAAGCTTGGCATTAGTCAGGTAAAGGAGGCTATGCCTTACATCTGGGTATCAAAAACTGAAGGTAACTTGATGATTTGTGGCTTCCTTAGGCATATCCTATACACGAATGCTCCCAAAGAAATACTTGAAATGTTACTTTTCAATAGAGCCTTGATTGTGGCTTCGGTCTTCAAAGATTTAATGCTGTTGAATTTTCCTTCAGTAGTGGCTTAGATTAGATTTAGGCCTAATCTTGTTTACCTCTGTAAAAACTTTAAGGCTTTAGCTTGAAGTTTGTATTTGAGTTTTCACAAAGCAATTGCACTTAATGTTGATGACCAAATCCTGACTCTAAAATGTTTTAGAGGGTAGCAGACCGGCTGTACGGTGTCTATAAAGTCCATGGCAACTACGGAAGAGTATTCAGGTAAGAGTTCATCCTGATTTTAAATACATACATAGATATCTGGAGAGAGAGGGAGAATTTGTTGGTTTTGTTCTTATGCTTTTGAAAAGTATATCTGAAACACTTCAGTGTCTGTCTTGAAAAACTTTGTATTGCAAAGAAATATTGTATAACGAGATTTCTGTGTTGGATATAGTGATCTCTGGATCTGCTGAGCTTCGTTTCTAGTGGAAGACTTTAGCTTTTTGTTTTGTATTCCAGACCTTTTGGGGCTTTTGTTGTTGCATTGGTGTTCTGTTTCTTCAGAAAATAACTTATTACCTATTTTCATGTAGGTGTCTCTGAAAAGCTTCTAGACCCTTTTAAGGGTTTAAAAATCAACAATTTCATCTATTCAATTTTAGTACCTTTTTAAAGTGAATTTGCCAATCGTTTTTTGATTTATATGAGTGAATTGCATGCTCAAGTTTTCCATCTCACTGGAGAATTAAAGAATCTAAACTTCTGGTTAAGGGAAACCTCCTGCTTCTACATACTGTTCAAGTGCTAAATTTAATTCTCTCAGTTAATGGATTGCAGATGTCTTTCTCATTGGGGGTTTTAAAGTGAAATTAGGTGTAGTTCTGTAATAACACAAAGACAAACAAATGTCAACATCAGCAGAGTGGAATGTTTATGAAAAAGTGAAGGACGGAATAGATGCATTAGACATAATTTATGTGAAATATAAGGGGACCCCCTCCTTTTTTGTTGTAAAAAGAGTTGTGGATGTAATTCTTGTAACTAAGAAATCTCATAAGGTTTCACAAAGCTGAGAACACAATTAAAATTGCAGTGTACGTACTTGGGCATCTAGAACAAGTCTCTTGCTATCTTTATTGTAGTTCTGTTTCCTTCTTTATCTAAATGATCTCCCTAATGTGAATAGGTAGTTGCAGTAATGAGATGGTTGTAAATCGATACTGTTGTTTTTTTTTTTTTTTTAAATGAAGAGAACCAAACAGCACTTTGCTATGAAAATGGAAAACAACATACAGCAAACAGTTTCAGGAGCAGTAAAATGCTTGCAAATGTCAAATCCCACCTTCTGTTTTTTGGAATGAGAGGCTTCTATCTGATGTGTTGCAAGTCTCAAAAGCTTAGTTTCTTGATGAGCATGTTAGACCAAATTCTGTTTTAGAAAGTTCCTCTTCCCCCCCCCCCCCCTTTATTTTAAGTGCTAGTATAATATTTTTTTTAATTGCGTTTGAGCTACTTACACAAGACTGACTCTGCTCAAAACCAATCCCAAACTAATTATACTTGTGAGGATGAGTTTAGGTGTCGGGGACAATTGTTTAACAGAGTGCCACAAATAGCCTTGCCACATTGTCAGTGTTGCTGCTTAGAGGAAGAACACAGTTTGGCCAAGCCTAACTTTGAGGCAGTTTCTATTCAGGTGTCGCCTGGAAAGAAACTATATACAGGATGCAGCTTATTAACTTCCCTTACCCTTCATGTGCGATGTTGTTTCTCATTTGTTTTTCCTACAGTGAGTGGAGTGCAATAGAAAAGGAGATGGGGGATGGGTTGCAGAGTGCTGGCCACCATATGGATGTGTAAGTACTGACTGAATATCTGATAGTTTGATGTAAGCCAGATGTAGAACTCTCCCTCTTTCCTTTCTTTTCCCTCAACCGCGAAGCACATACAAGTAGTGTGCTGAGAAAGTTGGGGGTGCGTTGTTTTTAGGTATACAGTGTTTCTGTGACTTGGATGCAGGCGCAATTTTAGCATCCATGCGCTGTATTAAGTAGCTCAAAAGGTCTCAGGAGAACCAGAGGGGTTTCTTTTTTTATTATTATTTTGAAATTGTAGAAGTGTTTGGGATTCTTCCAGTTTTTCTTTTAAGCTACTATGCCAGAAACTGGTGGAATACAACTTTAATGTACTGCAGACCTGATGAGATCCATTTGGTTTTGATAGCAGTGTTTCGTACCGTACAGTAGATGGTACGCAGATTTGGACTTAATTACAGCAAGTTAAGAAATTTAATTAATCAGCACCAAAACTCTAATGGATTCTTGAAACAAATACTGACTGGATGTAATAAAGTAGAGAATCCTCCCTCTTTGCATCTTCAGAGTCGGTTGGCAGCGTATGCAAAACACAGCCTTCAAAATAAGAGCCTAGCACCTCAGAGCACTCACAGAAGTGGTGTTCTAGGCTGATGCTTTCCGCTTCTCAGGTAGTCATATATAGTAAGTGAGACAGTATAACTTCTCATCACTCTGATTCCTCATCTGTAATCCCACAGTACAGATAAGTAACAACTCCAGCAAGAGAGGGAAGCTGTTTGACATTTCTTCATACAATAATTTTATTGATAAAGTGTAATTTGTGTGAAAGCTATCAGTTTTAGTTTACAGTGCAGATTTACATATGTACTACTGCCTGGTTGTAATTGGTGTTATGCCTTATCAAGTGGAAGGGTTTGAAGAGCCATGCCAAACTCTGCCCTCAGCTTCTTCAGAACAATTCTGGGCTTTATCAGATCTTTAAGAATTTTAACCCCTCTGAATAATTTATTCACACGTACGGTGTTTTGGGTGACATGGTGGTTTGCACCCAAAAAAAGCTATAATATTTTTTAGGCAGAGGGCTCTGGTGAGAATAAAGAAATGGAGAATGCATTCTGCTTTCAGAAGAAAATAATTGAAGTAAAGGTGAAATACAATGTTAAGCAGCTACTACAGTATGCAGAAGTTGAAGAGATTATGAAAACATGGTATAATATAGAGGAGTTAAGGAGGCACAAGTAGGTTTTCAGTGATTCAGATACACCACACTAGATGTCAAACACCTAGAAATGTGTAACCAACTGAAGGAAGTGGGTCTCACTTGTCAGTCAGGAGGCTGAACCCTTTCCACACATATGAGATGTTTAATGTTTCTGTCTGTAACACAGTTAAAGATCCAAAGTAATGGCAGTTAGTTCCTGGGTAACTTTTTAATCACTGCATGAAGTCTGAGGTAGCTTTCATTGCCTGCCATCTCTTCTGCTCTGGCACTCCTGTACAACAATAATCTCTTGGTGACAAGCACAAAGCAGCAGCTGTGAGATGCAGGAACTCACTCAGTGACCCATGTGGTCTCCTACCAGTAAGGATCGTATCTATGATCTCTTGAAAGTATAACTTACCAGTCCAGTTACTATTCCCATAACATTAGACAGGAGTTTATAGCAACAGAAAGCTACTTAAGGAGGTTGCCTAATATAGACATTAAACTTCAAGGCTAATTTAATTATTCTCTATCTACCCCATATGCTGTAGTCTTTACTAGATGTTTGTTTAAACTTTTGAGTTGTTATTGTTTAGTGTGATCAAAAACTGCTTAATATTTGGAGGAGACATCCCAAAGCACCTCTGGATGTATGTTGTATAACAGGATGAGGCTTGCTAAAGTGATAGAAAACCACAGAGTAAGCTGATAAAGCTCGAGTGAATGGCTGTAATTCTATCATTTAAAAGATGAGAGAAAAAAAAATGCCAGACCTTTGACTTCTATCCTTTATGCTCTTAGTGAGTGACCCTTTATCTCTGTATCAACTAGACTGTCATTACAGGTGGAAGCAGTCTAAACTAAACCAGGGGTTTAGTTGATGATTCCCATGAAGAGTGGGAACATACTAGGTACCTTTAGAACTCAATGCAGTGTTTCTCCTTCAGACTTTCCCTGGTTTGCCTACTTGCTTAGGACAAACCAGTCTGTAAACTTCAGCTTAGGCAGTCAGAACTGTAGCTTGTCTTACAATTTTTTTCTTTTTTTTTTTTTTTCCAAATCAAACTTAAAGGTCATTATGAAAACCCTATGTAGATAAGGTGAGTTTTTGTCTGGTGGGGATTTTTTTGTTTGTTTTTGGGGGGGGAGTTGTTCTGCCACAGATGAGCTCTAGCACTGCTCTAAACTTAGAACATACTTGAAACCGAAGTGTGGCCCATCTGCTGCCCTGAAAAATCTAACCACTATGCTAAAATTATTGCACTTCAGAACTTAAAAATAGAGAGGGGTAAGCTACTTATGACCTATGTGGCTGCAGGATTTTTTCAGTGTAAGTCTGTTTTTCAACAGTTTGGACTTCTTTACTTTGATTCATACTGTGAATTCTTGTTCTGCCTGTTCTTTTATCCCTTCTACTTAAACTGATCTGCGGATGCTGGGTCACTTCATATGTTACGCTTATTTATGCTAAATAGCCTTGGTAGGGCCTTTCCTGGATGTGCCCTGTCTTTGATTTCACAGAGCATGAAATCACCTAATCTTGCGTGCATACTTGTAAAATTCGTACTTGAGCAGATGGGCATGTCTCAACTCTTCCTCAGCCTCCCCATTCTTCTGGTTATTCTGCAAGTAGCCGTTCCCTCTTTGAAGAGCCTTATTTCATATCCCCTACCGAGCAGGCCTGAGGATGATGTTAACTTTCAGCATGAGTGTTTCCCTCAGATACCTTCCTTAGATTCCCAGGTGTCCAAGTGATGTTGCTGTTTCTTTTAAAGCTTGCATGGAGGCGTTTCTTGTTCTCTCCCAAGTCACATTACCAGTTCCCTTTCAGCTTGAGACTCTTGCAGCTTGTTCCGTTCTGGAGAGGCACAGGAAGAAAGGGGAAAACCTCAGACTTTTTACTAAAGTTTTAAGGCCAAGAAGTGCTGTAATTAACACTTGGGTCACATTGTGCTGGTCACTAGATAAGCATAGACAAATGCTTGCTTCAGAGAGCCTGCAGCTGTGCAAGGGATTGCCACATACTTGAGAATCCAGACTGAGTTGGCAGAATAGATGAAGGCATTTGAGAAGCGATCTCATTCATTCTGGTTATCTCCAGCGGCACATTCCCTGTATTGCTGGCTAAAGTGGCATCCTGTTTCGGTCACTGTGCCAAGTGAGATGTGCAGTTACCTATTAGCTGTAGGCTTGTCCCTGCAAATGTGTCCAAGCAAAGTCATCTTGGTTAGTGAGAACCTATTAAATACTGTCAAATAAGTAATGTAAACTAGAAAAAGCACTTTTTTGCCATTTTTAGGAGACATCAGCCTAAATGACAAAACTCATGCCAAGTGCAAAAGCTGCAGAGTTGGTCCAAGCCCTTGTACTTCATATTGCTCCCTAAAAGGCAGGTTTAAACTCGTTGCCGTGAATTGATGCAGCAGACAAAGCAACACACTTTCAAGGAGCTGAAAGACTTAATGTCGTGGTGTTCAAAGCACCACTGTGAGTTCTGTCATACTCGGGCTGAATAACGAACAATGAAAGCAGCCTTTTAAATACTACCTCTTTGCTTTTCAGAAGGTTTGATGTTCACATTCCTATGCCTTAATGCTTTAAGCTTTGCAGGATTTCTTCTGCACCGTGTTGTTTTTGTCTTGATGTTGCCTATTGACAGTCCGCTGAAGAAAAAAAATAAATTGTTTTTCTTTCCTGTAAGAAAAATTGCCTCATCTTCAGCAGATGATAGATCTTGTACTTGTCAGAAGATTAACTGTAGTAACAACTAAAGAAATAGGCCTGCAGGAGTGTTTATATAAGCCAATTCAGTGTTTAATGAAAAACAAAGGAAAAACCCTTCTTAGAAGTGCTTTTCACTGTTTTGCTTTGTGACTGGTGTTTCTGTCAAACTGGTGTCCTCCCTTGTTACTGTATGTGTAGTCCTTAAAGATTAAATTAAGGAACATTATGTTTAGCCATGGCTATTTTTTCACCAGATATGCAGCTTCTATTGATGACATACTGGAAGAAGAGGAACATTATGCAGATCAGCTGAAAGAATATCTCTTCTATGCAGAAGCACTACGGTATGTACAGAAGTGTGTAGCTCACAGGGAGGCTGTAGTCCTTTTCTCTAATACTGTGATGTTGAATTTAGCTTGGTGTCCTCTTCTGTTCTCCAAGAAGTGGAAATTTCAATGTTGTGGAATCTCCATGTTCTCACCTCTTATTTTTCTTAATCCTATTTGATTGCCATGTGGGTGGCAATAAAAATTACAACTGAGCTGATCAATAGTGAAGTGACGGAAATGTTAAAATCAGGATACTGTGGAAGGTAATGCTGTTTATTCCTCTGGTTACCCTATTTCCTTGGCTTATGGTATAACAGTGCCCCAATATGCCAAAATCTTCAGCTTTCAAATGAGATAGGCCAAACAGAGGTGCTACAGCCATCACAAATTCCAGCAGGTTTCAAAGTGTCCTATATAACTTTCATCTGCTGTACAGTATTGTGCATCTAAATACTGAATTCTTGTGGGGGTGTGTTTTTTGGTTGGGTGATCTGTTTGTTTTTTGTGGTTTTTTTTTTTTACATTAGCCTTTATAGGGCAGTCCTCCCTTCCAAGCGTGGATACAAAAGCAAATTACTTTATGCTGTAAGATTGCTCCTAAAGCTGTTGTGCTCTCCATGGGCTGGCTCTGAACCTCTTGGAGAGGTCCAGTAATAGTGTGGAGCATCAGGCTGGCAAGTGTGATGGCTGCTGTGTGGGAACCCAGAGCACTAGCAGCCTCTCTTGGGAGACAAATGTGCATCCGGCAGTGGAGTACGGATGTAGCATCGTCAGCCCACACAGGACTGGGACTTGCTGCAGGTGGTCAGAGGAAACTCTCCTCTTTTCCAGATGAAAGGCACTATATGAATCTAGGAGCAGAGTTGCTTTTAAAAAATAAAATGTGAAGAATCTTGATTGACTGCTACATTGCTGCTGTGACAGGTACCATCTCCAGGTACCTTTTGTCATAATTGTGATTTTTCTGTAATGTGTTTTGAATAAAACTATTTTACAGTGGTGCCCTTAAGTAGGTGATAAGGTTTGTGTGGCTCAGAGTGTCTTGGAATGACTCTAAAAAGAGGAGCAGAATGCTGCTACTAAGAACTTTATGCTTTGATCCAAGCTTGCTTAACTACAGCATTTTCAGAGTTATGCATTCTGTGATAAGGCAGTTGAATTTGAGCTAGATAAATAACTGAATGTGCTGCCTGCCAAAAAAAAAAGCATGATGCCATTTGTAAAGTTTAAATGGAGGAAACATAGCAAAACAAAGTATTACGTGACAGATCTTTCATTACTTTTCAGGGCAGTTTGCAGGAAACACGAACTAATGCAGTATGACTTGGAAATGGCTGCACAGGACTTAACATCTAAGAAACAGCAGTGTGAGGAGCTGGCAACAGGAGTGAGTCTTTTTCCAATTTCTTCTCCAAGATGCCTCTTTATTTTAATTTATTTTTTATTTGAGCCAAGTTACTTAGAATGACATTTAAATGGCACTAATGTGCTGGCTGACGCTTATGAGAACCGGTATCATACGAGCTGTAGGCATCTGAGGTTTAAAGTAACTTGGTTCTTGGTGGCATAAGCTGTTTGGACCAAACTTCTTTTATTGAATACTAAGGGAGTGAAGGGTTCCAGGAAGTATGACCTGAGCAGAGTAACATAAACAATTCTATCCTAAAGATCAAAACATTGGGAATCCTGAAAGGCTTCCTCTGCCTTTTGAAAGGTGGATGTTACTGATACATGGTGTTAATTCCTTTTATGTGGAAGATAATGTTAAAATATTGTCTGAAAGTGGTAACTTAAAGTGTTTAGAATTCTTAATGTTGCTGTTGGCTCTATTGACGTTCTATACAGAACTGCTTTATGGCTTTTCCTTCTCATGCAGAGCACAAGACTTAGTTTCTTTCCTACTTCAGTAGGAAAACTGCTCTGAAAGGTTACCCTTATCAGTGCAATGACTCACTTGTGGTCCAATCCACAGACCAGCCTTAAAGAGTTCAAACATCAAATTACTTCCTCCCCACTTTGCTTGGTCTAATGTGAGGCACCATACCTCCCATAGTTACCTATCAATTCATGCAAACTTCTTTCACGAAATGAAAGTTGAAGCAAAAAAAAAAAAAAAATCAGCTGAATAATAAGCCCAAATGCTGGTAAAAATCACATAACGTCTTGTGGTTGTGCTCAGGAATCCCAAACCTAGAGTGTCTTTGTTTTTTGTAGACTGTGAGAACATTCTCCCTGAAAGGGATGACCAGCAAGCTGTTCGGGCAGGAAACCCCTGAGCAGAGGGAAGCCAAGATAAAAGTTCTAGAAGAGCAGATACAGGAAGGAGAAGAACAACTTAAGTCTAAAAATCTGGAGGGCAGGTAAATGGGCTTGACTTTTTCAAAGAAAACACAGGGCTTGTCTTAGCAAAAGTCCTTGACTGGATGCTCTTGAAGGTGTTTGCATTTTATAAGTGTTTTTAATATATTCTTGGTGTTTATGAGCTGTCTATAAAAGCTCCTGTCAGCTGCAAGTTGTGAAATAAAGTACAGTACATGCAGTTAGCTTCTGGTCTGAGTGTATGGCTTATGTAAAACCTGATGACTTTCCCAGTTACTGAGCCCACTCTAATGGCTAACTTGCATGCTTTTATGTTCAGCTGGTAATATGTTTAGCAGGTGGGCTTGTAGGTCTGCAGCTGAGTAGCCTAAGACTCAAAAGCTGATTTGCTTCAAATACAGCATTTAGTTTGGTTTATGTGTTGGGTCCTGAGCTCATATTCTGCAACTTCTCATATGGGGGAGACTGACTCCTGTTTGAAAGAGATTAGAAGTTCTAGAGAGTTGTGTTTGAGTAACTGCTGCTCAGTGCTCTAATGAAATTCTCTTCAGGAATGGAAACATGAAAAATAGGAACTAACATTCCTAATGCAATTGTGTCAGAACACGTTCACTGTGTAACACAAGGGGTAAATGTAGTATCTCCTAATATGTCAGGCTTAGAGCTGGAAAGATAAGGCTAGTTCATGAATAGTTCAAAACAACAAGACACTCAGTAAATGCAATTTCTTAATCATTTTGACAGAAGTACTGGGGATCTGCTTTTGTAGCTCTGGAAGCAATTTTCAAGTGAATACTTGCCTTGTATGTAGAGTCCAGCACAAATGAAAGCTATGAATTACAGACATCTACCTCCATTTTAGTTAAGGAGACCTGAAGACACATCACCAAACCAACAAAATTAATTCCTGAAGTGAATTGTCCAAGTCAAATTTGCATTGTAAATGTTTGTTGTACTCGAGTGTCTCAAATCCTTATGACAAGTGAGTTTTCACCTTGGAAAGACCAAGATTCTGACTTGACAATTGACAAAAAATGTGCAATTTCATGTGCTGAATGTTAGCATAAAGATGCTTAGTTCCCCCAACAGAATCTGAGGAGAAAAGTACATTCTTGAATCATGCTGGTTCTATGACAGTGATGCTTACTGGGGGCGGGGGGGGGACCCAAAACAACCAACGCAACACATCCTAGATTAAAAACCTTAAGAAGAAGTTGGAGAATTAGGTAGTAGTGCCACTTAAAAAACGAGGACACCGTGGGACGCATAATAACTACAGAACTTGGTTTACTGACTGAAAGATGGAGTGCTTTGTCATACATAGCTCCTCTGAAGGAGGGAAGATGAGCTGAGGATGGAACATGTAAAACTCTTACTAACAGAAATATTGCTTTTAATTCCAGAGACTTTGTGAAAAGTGCCTGGGCTGACATTGAACGATTTAAAGAACAAAAGAATCACGATTTGAAGGAGGCGCTCATAAGCTATGCTGTTATGCAGATTAGCATGTGTAAAAAGGTATGTTTAGCTTGTGAAAGGCCAGGGCAGTGTATTTATCGTGTCAGTAGGGGATCAGATGCAAACTTTCAATAACTAGAAACATTGCAGTCACAGAAGGTTGGAAGTCACTAGTGTAAAACCTCCCACATATTCCGTCCTGCTCTAACTCAGTCACATGTTAATGTTGGTGTGGTCCAATTCCAGTGCGGTCTCTGACTTATTTTTGTGTGAAGTTCTGTGGGACTTTTTTGTAGAGTCTTGTGTGGAAGAAAGTATGTTGATGAGGTTTGCATACAAAGTGTATTTCCACATATTTTTAACTTTTTTTTAAAGGGAATTCAAGTTTGGACAAATGCAAAGGAATGCTTCAGCAAGATGTGATTATCTGGAAATGAATTCCTCCTCCAAGTGCCAGAGAACGGAAGCACAAATGTGTAACACCAATGTTAAGTTGCTACATGACTTACATATAAATCATGAAATAAATGAGTTGAGTGAATAGTTTTTCTTTCTGCTGATTGTAACTGTTAATAAAGGACAAAAAGGACATGTTATTAAATGTTTAGCCCTGACTGCCACATCTGTGGCATTTTTTTATATGTGGTAGCAAATAATTCAGGGGTAAAAGAGTTACTGAAAACTACAGCTCTGTATTGGGGCAAAGGTATAGAGCAAGTTATCCCAGAAAGGATGAACTGAACTGTTCTGAGACTTGTGAAACACCATGCTCTGTAAAGTGTAGATCACTTCCAGATGCCCTTCTTTTCAGCCCTTGCTGTTTAGAATTTGTAATGCTCAAGGGTGCTTTGGTTTTATAATGGGACACACAGTTGTGTTCTTGAGGTCTACACCGTAAGAGACAAAAAAATGAAATATTGCAACGCCTAGGGTTCGTATTTAAATGCCTTTGCATGTCCATAGAGAAGTGTGCTTTTCCAGAGTTCAGGTTAAGCAGTCTCAAGCTCCTGAGATGTTTGAAACTCTCTACAGTAGAGGTGTTGTACAATGGTTTGATACAATATCCTGCATTTACTGGTTCCCACTTCAGTTTTGATATGGGCATTGATTTCTTATCGAACTTCTTCCTGCAAGTAAAGGAGACTGGTGATCCAGCTGAGCAGCAAAACCAAAGTCAAAGCTGGTAAGAAGTGGATGCAACTTCTGTTTGGTTGTTTGGAACCTGTTTACACCAGATGTGAATCTGGCCTGTGGTACCTCTTCTTGTAACTGAAGCGGTTTGGTTCTTGAAAGAATAGTTCTTAATGAAGATGCTGAAATAAAAAACCAGGTGCAACTTCTGTAGTACTTAAGAGCAGCTATGTGCAGAACCCACAATGAACCAAGGTGTCTGTTTGGCTCTTGTAATGATGTTTCAGTGTGTTTGTGTGGGGGGGTGTGTGTATATGTATACACGCACCAGTATACCATGATTTGCGATTACAGGTACTTGTGTTAGATGTTTCCAATTATGAAAAACACTTACCACTGTCTAATATTGGGCTTTTTCTACATAAAGTTCTTGAAGTCTTGTGGAATTTGTCAGACTTGATTGCTAGTTCTAAAAGAAGCTTTGTAATATTCTGTTAAAAAATGTATTTAATTATTCTGGATTATAACACTACTCAGATTTTGATTTTTTTTTTTTTTTTTAAAAGAGATATTCCAGGAAGTCCTTAAAAGTTATTTTGGTAAATTATAACGTAGTTACAGATATGTCCCATGTTACTTTTGTCTCTGCAGCATTTCTTTTCTATAAAACTGTTGTAAAGAATTCATAGGCCTGGTGTACACTACAGTTTAAAACTCTGAAGTAAAACGCCGGTCACTCCGATAATGTATGTTGGCTTTTTCAAAGCATATGACCGTGACACTCCTGGCTGAGAGATGATGTTGGGCAGAAAGAGGTCTCTCCATTTAACATGTACAAGGAGAAGCGTTGTTCTGTTCAGAGTTGCGGTATCCAGTTTCGATACAGGCTGAAGGACTCTTACATTCCAAACCAAGAAGTTGCACACTTGATGTATTCAGTAAACCTTCTAAAGGAGCGGTGCCTTAATACAATACCGTGAGGCGCTCAGAGTAGGTATTTTTCATGCACTTTGATTTTTGGTAAATCTTTCTGGTGCCTCTTTCCACATTTCACTTGCTGTACAGCTTATTAAATGTATTAGTATGCCTCTTTTTTCCTTGCTAGTAGTACTAAATTTAAGAAGGGAACAAAACGGTTCTTGTAAGTTTTGTGCCAAATAAGCTAAATAAAATTGCTCTTTGATATTTTTGTTATGTTGGGTTTTTTTGTAAAAATGCTGTCTTCCCAATTCTGACAACTGCTGTTCAATTTCTTGAAAGTGGTTCTCATCCATCTTAGCTCTCAAGCAGCCTCCAAACTTGGGTTTAAAATTGAAGTAAGAAATTGGGCACAACTAGCTGATTGGCCTTGTAGGTGAAGACCGTAGTGCTAAGGCCCAAATTAGATGCTTGGTACAAGCCAGCTTTGATCTGTGCTTTGGGTTTGCCCAAACGGAACCAGCTGTCTGAATTTCCTGTGTGTCTTCATCTAGGTAAGAGAAGGTGCATTTGAAAAGGGTTTGCATTGTTTGACAGAAATTGGGTGAAAGGTGGCTTAAGGATAACTTGCAATAACTTTATTTCTTTTACTTCTGTTTGCAGAAAAGCATTGCATGCGGTCCGTGCACTTGTGGATCTTAGCAGACAGTGAAGGTTGCTCCCTCTCTTTCTGCTTTTTAACTTTTTAAGGGGAAGCCACCTAGTTACTTTCTGTGTGGTAAATAGAGACCACATGACAAAGCCACACTTGTGAAGCATGCGTTTTCCCAGTTACAGTGCAGATTTAAATTCTGTAACTCTATCCACTTTGCCTCGATGAGCTTCCTTCAGTTATCCAGTAAACATCAAAAACTGGTGGAAGGCCTTGAGAATAATAGCAGGCAGGTAGGTCATTGTAACTTAATCTCGACAAAATGCTTGTATATGACAGAGTTTACTGGCATGGATCATCTGTTTTGCTGATGGGGCTGTCATTTCTGTGCCAGGCAGCTTTGGATGGATTATCACCGCTCGTGCCATCCTTGACCTTCCCCATTACTAGCGGGACCTTGACTTGTCAGTACATTTTAGTTGCTACTGTTGTCTGCTCCTGAAATGCAGCTAGGGTGAGGGAGCCAGCTGAAATGAGAAGAGAAAAGTATTTTTCTGAACTCTCATTATTATTATTATTATTATTTTTAATGTTGTATTATTTCAGAATCTGGCATGTCAGCCAAAGTGGAGTGAACCTAGCAGCTGTGTGCGGGGACCACCTTGGCAAGCGCAGAGCAGATCTTGGAGCTCGAGTCCCCGCCAAGGAGCTTGCTCTATGCAGGTGAGCCAAAGGAAGGCAGCAGCTGTAGCCCAACTCACCGCAGAGCCGGCGCAGCATGGCTGAGGTCCCGGAGCGGCTGGCTGGGCTGTGATCACTGCATCCTAGGAGAGACCATATTTCCCTGTATGACTCCCCCTACAACTTAAATTTTGTGCGCTTTAGTTGAAGAAATGAGAAATGCTTTCTCATGTCCCCTAAAGGAGTGCAGGGAAGAAAGTCTTAATTCCCACCACATGTCACGCAAGGGCAAGGCAGGGCTCTAAATGATGTTTCCTTATGCCCCCCTGTTCTGCTTGTCTCTGGTGCCTCTGTCTTGTATCTGCTCTGTGCGGAGGTGCTGTCTGTGTAATGAAAATCCTTGTACCGGGCTGCCGTAGAAATAATGCAAAGAACGGAAGCAGGCGGAATGAGAGCTAGTGAGATGGGAGCACAGGCTTCTGTGCCAAACCAAAATACAGCATGCTCACGTATTGCCAGCAAAAGCAGTCGCATTTGTAAGCAGTCACTTTGCTGCTGCCACAAAGTTAATGTCTGCTCCAAGCTCTGCAGTTTGAGTGCTCCTGCCCGGCGGGTTCCCTCCCGCTCCCCCGGCAGACCTGGGGTTTCCCAGGGCAGGGCGTCTTGCAAAGGACGCTCACTCCTCATCCAGCTCCTGTAGAGACCTTGGCACTGCAGGAGAGTAATTTGCGTGAGCTGCTTCCCTCTAGTGGGTGGCCACCGGGGAAGGGTAGGGTGCTCGCTGGGATGGCGAAATGCCTCGAAATGGCAGAGGCTTCCGTGTGCCCCCAGCTGGAACGCAGAGGTTTTACGTGTCTCCCCGCTGCGGTGAGGACCTCCTGCCGTAGGCAGGTCCAGAGGGCCTCGAGTTCCTGCGCAAGCAAAGGGTTGTGACTCTTTGGCTGTCATTTTCTGATGATTCTCGGTACGTTGTTATCAAAAGGATTTTGCAACTGTGACTTCCGTGGGGTCAACTGCAGAGGAGAAACCTTTTTTTGCTGCCTTGTAGTTGCTTTTTAATGGCTTACATAGACTGGCCTTCCCAATGCTGTATGTTCTTTCCAAAAAAATCTTTTTTGCTTTGAGTAGTTGTAGAGGGTATCTAAACCACAAAACAAAGCCAAATTGGAAAGGATCTTGGGTGGATTTGGAGGAAACTGACTGCAGACAGTGAAAGTGCAGAGTATTTGGAGGTAAGGGGAGATGGCGCCGTGCTAGAAGAGGCAAGGGAGGGTTAAGCTGTATGGACGTGAGGGAAGATGGGGTTTTGAGGAGAGATGTGCAAAAGGGTGAGGAGATAAGGAGAACAGAAGGTGAACAGGCAGGAGGGAGAGCAGAGATGGGCTGGGTGGAGGAACTGGAGAGGAGAACAGATGGAAAGCTTCTGCACCTGCGGGCTGGGCTGTGCAGGAGAAGGGGAAAGCAGCACTGCATGGCCGTTGTTTTGAAGCAGTAAAACAAAGTGAAGGAGGTGGAAACAGGAGATAAGGAAGTTTCAAGAGCTGTCAAAGACACAAATATATACTACTAATGATAGTATAATACTAGTATGTAGGTCTGAATGAAACTTGTGGTGGTGGTCTTAAAGATGAATTTAACACTGATAATGGTATAACATTTCTCTTGCTCAGGAGGAGAGATTTAATTTTGTCTAACATTTTATATCTATTTTTAATATGATTTCTTTGGATTTTCCAAATAGATAAAGTAGGAGAAGAATCCCCAGTCTTTAAAAGCCTAGCATAGATGTGGATACCCTGATCCTACAAACACCAGCATCACCAGCCATGTGATCTGGGGGCCTGCTGGTGGATGCAGCTCCAAAATGGGCTGCCGCCTATGCCACAGACATCCCAGGAACTACAATTAATAAAAAGCTGCTTCATTTGCAGTAAACTTTTTCTGTTATCTGTATGTATCATGGCATATGATAACACCAGTTACATTCTCTTTGGAAAGTAGCTCCAAGTGGCCACGGAAGATGAAAAGCAACTTTGTGGTGAGCTTCCCCGGGATGCTAAGGTGGAAAATGATGTAGTGGAAGGGAAAACATAACCCCGACCGCCCTCTTGTGGGTCTCCAGCTCGGGCTCACAGGGGCCGGAATAAACCTGCGGCAGGAGAGAGGCAAATGCCACCTACTCTCCTCCTGCCGCTCAGAGGTGCGAGGGCCATCGCAGTAGCCATAGCGTAATGGGTGTCTAAATACAAAGGGGTTGGTTATACTGCAACGGGTTTCCACGCAGGGTTTAGTGATGGATTCATGTATTGCTGTAGATTGCTATTAATTACACAATGTATTGCACTGTGATTTGCGGCTTGTGGTCCGGTTTGTCAGGCACCTTTCACATTGGGCAAACACTGCTGTGAGTTGAACTTGGGGTTTCTGAGCTAGCAGTATTTTATTATTGTTTTTTAATAACTGCTTGGAAGCAGTGCTGGCTGCATGGTCAGAAGGAATGATCTGTGACCAGGTAAGCTGCGCTCCTGTATAAGAGATGGGAATGTCACCCTTTCCCAGTGCAGCTGCTTTGAATTAGCTTTTTCTGAAGTGTGTACTCTCTGAAACTTTGAAACTCTCTGGTGACAGGGAGGCCAAATCTCACAATGCTTGTCCCAGGGGCTTTCCAGTCTCATTTGTCTGCTTTACCTTCCAGGCGAAGTGTCAGTAGGCTCCTGCCTGCTCATCTCTGGCAGCCCTGCAGCCACTGGGTGCTCAGGGAGCAGCAGGGAAGGACCACAGGCTCCTTCCTCATGCAGTGCCATGATCCCTGCCAGGCCACACAGCAGAGCCATGCATCCCTCTCATGCCACGTTTCCCAAGCTGGAATGGGCATTGCGATAGCCAC